AGAGTAGATGGTGACTCCAGAAGTCATCAGAAGGACTAAGTCAAAGAGCTGGAAGATGTCTGATCGAGGCTGATGAATTGAAAGAAGAACTAATCTGTTTCCTCTTGCTAGTCTGGAGAGCGTTACCACAAGGTTATGTGCGGTAAAACTGTCTAGTCCAGATGTAGGTTCATCAAGAATTAGTATTCCTGGAAGAGATAATATATGGTGCTTAGTTGAGGAAAGCACTCAATTTGATCTCGTGCTGCAAGTTAAATGGCCCTGGTATATGGAAACGTACTGATAGAATGTACAAAATTATTTTCCAAAGCATATTTTCATACCAAAAGTCAAATGATATTTATTAATGGGAATTTCACCTTTTAAAAATATTTTCTATTTTCCATTCAGGTCTTACCCTGCTTCCACTGATATCAATAGGAGTTTTATTATTGACCTTAAATAGGCACAAATTCGGGCCCTGTATTTAAAATCTTCCAACATTTTCCTTCTTGATTCTTTACTCCTCAGCTGGATATAACAAGTACAAGAGCACACAATAGCTATAGTTTTGTATCTCCGTATGCATGTTAACTGAAATGTAGGTTCAGTGACTTTAGAGCATGATGCAATTCTTTAACTCCCAGTGTTCAGATGATTTGCATTATTCAGGTGCAAAGATTAATAGTAAAACTCACCAAATCAAATCATTAATATATTTTCAGAGTACAAAAGTGAAGAGGAGATATTTTATTTTTAATATTTTACTGCATGTTTTTGCATGGCTTGATGTGATTTTTGTTTATTATTACAGTTGGTTGTTAAAACCTGAGACAGGTAATGCCAAACAGGTTGAGACTTAATACATTTTAACATTTATGTTATAATATTACTGGACTAGATGTCCCTGTCAAAATGAGGAACAAAATATGGTTCCTGCTTTGGAGAGCTTACTCAGAATAGAGATGAAGTGCCAAGGAGTATTTTTATTTTTCCATTTTTGCCCTAGAAGTGGGGACTTGTGCTCGTCTCCAACACAGCTTTTTTTCAGGGGTAGCACTTCCTACAAAAAATGATTTCTGCCTTCCCCAAAATTGTGAAAAAGTAGCTTTACCTGCACTAGGAAGTTGTAACTTTACTAGCAGGAGCTATAGGTTGTATTACTACCATGCCAGCAAGATAAGGTAACATGGGGTAGTTTTCTCTGTACTACAGTTTCCACTGCATGAGGCCCAAGCTGTTGGTAATAGAAGTCTGAAAAATCCTAGTATAGCCACAGTTGCTAAGATTACAGTCTGAAGCCCCAGTCCTAAAGACTGCTACTCCTTTAAGTAAACTTAGTGGCACAAGTAGCTTAGCTGAAACCAGCAGGGATACTAGTGTGTGAGAGTTTGAAAAACTGGACACTCAATGCTAGGAAAATGATCATGGGGTATCAGTTTTATTTCTGCTTCTATTAAGGTTTTAAAAAATTTGTTTTGGTAATATCAGTGGGAGCAGATGAGGTAAATGAACAGAGGTTGGAGTTGTGATGACCATGGAGGCATGAAAATGACCTGCCCCCCAGCATCTCAAATATAAATAGCCACCATTGCTATAGCAAGGAATTAAACAATAATTGCTTAGAAAAGCCTCAGCCTTACAGATTTGTGGTTTAATTAAAATGAACATTATTGTGCTCACCAGGATTCCATAGCAACTGCACTCCAATGCTTACTCTTCGCCTCTCTCCTCCTGAAACGCCACGAATGTACTCGTTCCCTACTCTGGTGTTTGCACACTGTCGTAACCGCAGTTCTGCTATAACATCTTCTACCTGGAGGTTGAATGATACAGCAAGAGCCAGTTGTTTTAACATGAACTATAGTTTACAGATAAAGCCGAAAATATACTTTGAGGTTAATTGTCATTAGATATTGAAGTTAAGGCTAGTTAAGACTGAACCTTGCTTTTTCTCAGATAGTGTTAAAAAAAAATCTCAAAATCTGGTTCTTTTTCCAGGTTTTCTTCCAAAATTGGCCATTTTTGCTACAAATACAAGTTGAGTCTGGGAGCAAATGATATTAAAACTTGCAACCAAAAACTGACAAATCAAGATTTGTAATTACTAACCCACACAAAAATGCCAGGTTCAGTGTTGTTGCTCTTACCCGAATGCACATAATTACTTGGGCAATTTTGTCATATGTTTTTGACAACTTTCTTTTTTCCAACAGCTTTAATTACCCTTTTTTCCCTTTGTGAATCTGAAAAAAACCTTGGAAGACGTAGTTTTGCAACAAATAACAACGTTTCTCTGACAGTCAGGTTGGGAAGCAGTCGATCATCCTGTCGCACGTGTGCAACGCATTTCTTAACAAGCTGGTGAGTACTGGGCTTTCCATTGATTATGATTTGGCCAGACTGAATCTTCCCTCCATGATCCCTGCAGGTTATCACATCAAGTAAAGATGTCTTTCCACAGGCTAGAAAAATCATCATCAAAAGGTTAAAAATCTCGATGGAACACATTCTGGAGTTGGTCTTTCCATTTACAAAAACGAAGCTACCACATTTTCTAGCATACTGCATGCTTCTAAATAGTATGTCTGGAAGCCAGAATGTAGAGAAAAAGATTTTTCCAGATTATAGCTAATTTTGTAAGTCCTCCTGGAAACACAGGATTTGTGTCCAGGAAGTGTGCCATCCCAGGAGACAATGTGGGTGAAGCAGCAGGAACTTCCTGGTGTAGCAGGACAGTGATAAACCTAGCACCCAGACCCTTGCAAGGGCAGTAGGAAGACTGTTACTCCTTTGCTGGAAATAGTTCTTTATATCAACTCCTGCAAATAATACTGTTTTCACACCACCAGTCTCATCAACATACTACATGCAGCATCTCACTTGCCTTGAGTTAACTTAGTTGCCCTTTCAGACAAAGCTACAAAGCTCAGCTAATAGCTATGGCTGTGAGAGGGTTAACACTGGACTCCACCCCTTCTGCTTGGTGGGGCCACAGTGAGAATAAATATTTTACTGAACAAAGGGGGCACGGGGAATTGGCTCCTTCCAAGGACACCCAAAGAGGTCATTTCAGAGCAATGTAGCTTGTGCTCATGCTAGAACAGTAACTGT